AAGGGCCTCACACCCAAACCACACCCCTTTCCCTCAAAACCATGTCTGTTATGGGCATCTGCTCCACCGTGGAGTTCATACCCTTTAGGGATTTTACCAAAAAAATAAAAGGAAAAGAAGTAGGCTTCACCGAAAAATGCTGAAACGTCTGACCAGTCCCTGGTGCAGTGCCCATTATTACCTCCACCACCCCCCACTAGAGAGTGCATGGTCTGTAAGCTGTTTCCTGGGTAAAGCACAACACCTTTGTTTATGATGTAATTGATGTGACTGACTGTTTCCTTTTTTCTTTTCTAGTAAATATCTTGTACATTTTTTACCTTGTACATTCTCTGAAAAAGAAATGTTTGCTGAAAATTTAAAGTTCTTACAATTTACACCAGCAAGTGACTTTATAAGGCCAAACTGAGTGATCCTTTTTAATTACTTTGTCTTTTTTTTATTTTTATATCCACATTTAAGAAGTGTGGTACATTTAAGCCCAGTTTTAGCCCGATGGTACACATGCCAAAGCTGCTGATGAAAAATAATGAACCAGTCAGCTTGATCTTAAAAAAATCTTGCTTGTAGATGACCACTTCTGTCTGCCATGCCATTGAGTTAGTTGTGTTACGATATTCTCAACCAATCATAGAGCTTTGCTACCTTTAAATGGGAGTTGTATCATTCAGAAGTGGTTTGAAATATCTGCAATTGCCTCATGTGTGCATCTTATTTGATTAACTGCTCCGGATTTTTTTTTCTTTTTCATTTTAAGTGTGCGGTTGCAGTATACTATATACCCCACTGACCAAGTCTGTTGAACACCTATTGTCTTGGCTCACTATTATGTTTCGAATGAAGTGTAAGGACACCAGTGCACCTGCCATTTTACACAGCTACGAGTTAGACCGATACCTGGAATTTTTCCATTTTGGGGTGTGTGGGAGGTATGCGAGGCATGCAAGGGGTGGGGAGATTTGGCATGCTGTGTCTGGATATTTAATGTTTTAATGGAATGATTTTTCTTTGTCATCATGTTTGTAGAACATCTGTCTGTTGAGTAGTTTTTTTGAACACTGCCCTAGAAATGGTATGGTTGTGTACTGATTATCATCTCTTTACATTGTAATAGCTTAGGCAAAATGTTTAGCATTTTCATGTACAAGTACAAATATTAAATTGTTGCTGTTTTCGGGTGTGGGTGGAGACGGCTCTTGAGTTTTAGATGATGCTCTCCTGGGCAAAGTGGAGAAGTTGGTAGGCGACGTCCCTGTCCTTGGAGTCATCCAAGGACGTTTGGCTTTGGAGCAAGTAGAACAGAATTGATTTCATGAACGTGAGACGTTGCGGGGTAGGATCAGATGTGCTGCATTCAGCAGTGTAGATTGAGAATGTGCAAGAGTATACTTTTCAGAGAATAGACGTGGGGCTGCCGTTTTCTGCTTCACAATTTTTCTGTATGGCTAATATATTAATGGCTTTGGTTCCTTTGCTTCATATGAATAAATGTAGAATACATGTAGTATATGTGGAGTTAAGTGTAAGTTTATTAGTTAAATAGAAAAAAAATCTAGTTGTGATGTTGGACAGGCCTTGCTAAATTGCGTAGTGATTTGCTTTTATTTTGTCTGTACAGTTGTACATTTGTAAACGTTAACGCTGTAAATGGAATGTCTTTTACACTTTTTGGGGAAGAAAAATCAAAAATGTGCATTTTGATGTGTGAATATTCATCACTCCTTTCCCTTTGAATATAAGTATATACAGTTTTCTTTGAACAAGCGTTATTTTAAAGAAAAACTTTTTATGCGTCACAATCTCAAGATGGTTTTGTTTTTAATCAGTTCTTGGAAAAGGTCAGCCTCTTTATGTACCTGGAGCAGTGACACCTTCTGTTAACATAGTCATTTTGACGTGTGGCAGTTGAATAAAATAACAAAATTTATGAATTTAAAGAAAGAAAAAAAAACATGGGGCTGTCTTTGGTTCTACCTGCTACCATGGAAATTTCACAGGACAGGACAAGAATTATTTTTGTATAAAGGAGTGCTGTATTTTGGAGCAGCCACTAACTTGTAAGCAAAATAATTGTAAGATATTGTCAATTATATAAATATGAACATACGAGTTTTGTCACACTGTCAAAGTCATGTACATTTTCAGGTGGCCTTATGTACATTTCCAGATGTTAGATGAGAAAAGAACTCTTTTTGTTTTGTTTTTTTGGAAGCAGAATTGTGACTATGTATGATTAAACTGTTCTTCTAACATTTGATTTTTGTGTCTTCAGCTTTTATTATTCACTCTAAATACATTACACTCACTGCACACTCATTGACAGCTGAAAGGAATGTTCCTGGTTAAATATTTCTAATTGAAATGCTTGTGGCCTGCTGTCGATTATCACACAAAATATTTTAATAGTTTAATTCGGCTTAATAAATATTTAACATACAAAATGTTTTATGTTTAGTAAAAATGATACGAAATTAAAGGGGATATAACACACAGTTTCTGCCAATCTCGCGCTAATCTTGAGTATCTATTGAGTAGTATTGCATCCGTATCCGAAGAGTCTTTAGTTTTATCAGCTTTATGAAAGAAAGATCGTTTAGGTTACTGACGTAACCCCGGTTCTCTGATAACATGAAGTGAGGTCTCTCACTATGGGAACGCCTCAGGCGCAGGGGCGGATCTACCAGGGTGGCAACTGCCACCCTAAGAAAAAGCTGTGCCACCATAGACTCACCCCACCTGCCACCCCAGAATTATAACAGAATAAAATATAAATGTAAGCAGTGTTTCATGTGCTACTTTTCAGCCGCGGCGATGACAGCGTAACGCAAAATAATGGAAAAAAAATGTAATAATTAAAACTGTGCACGATGGTTGCACGCGCACGCAGTGTAGTCGGCTTCATTAACAAATGACTCTTATGAATCGGTTCTTTTTGAGTCAAAACCACAAAGCGCGGCCCGGTTCACTAACGAATTGTTTTTACATTTGTTCGTTAATCAGATAATTACTGCTTTTCAGGTAATTAAGAAGTCCTCTGAGAAATCTAATCCCGTCCGGATATGTCTGAGATTCATCGCTTAATTGTTTGGTGATCCGATTCTCCGACCGCTCGCTCCACTTTCATCATGGATATAAGTCGTAACAATAACATGAAATCAAAAAGAAGATGCAGATCACGGAAACTAGTAGCAGCAGAGTTAGGTAAGAACTGATTTTAGTTGGCACTTTTTTTTGCCCCCGAACCATTCATTCAGTTTTCAAAACAAAGACGCATTTCTCAAAAAGTTTAACGAGTTGCCTAAGTTAAACATTACATTAGGTAGCAAAACTGATGACACACACCAGTCAGAATCTCTGCATCCTAACAACGGAGAGAGCTGAGCCAATCATCTACAGGGGGTTTATACTTACACATACAGTATAATTACAGTACAGTACCAGTACATTAGATAATGGAAATTTCACTATTCTATATGTACAGTTGAAGAACTGAGAAATGACTGCCTAGAGATATAGCTAGTCTTGAGTCAGGAGACCAAACTGCTATAGTACTGTATACTGTAATGAAATTTGGCCAAATGGGCAGAGGATGCTAAATTTACTTTTTTAATTTAATTTTATTACTGTACTATATTGTGGTGCATGCCAAGTTCATACAATTTGAACTTTTCTAGTGCTTGCACACATAATCTTTACTTGTCACACAATTTCTTATTTTCATAAAACACTTTTTGCAAAACAACACACAATTCTCTATGTAACACAAAAATCTAACAGTAATTAATATTATGGCAAAGGTGTTTGCAAATGTTTGCTTTTGAGATGTGTTTGTGATATTTTAAATGCAGTGCTTCATTTAGCAAGAGATGTGAGACATTTTGCATTTTGTGTGTGCAATTCTTGGATTTGTGTGTAAAGTTTTGAAAAAAGAGGCAAAGTTTTGACAATGTGTGTAAGCAGTTGAAAGAAAAAAATAAGAAAAACTGTAATAGGCCTAACTAGATTGAAAAGTTTGAAAGACAAATTTATGCTGGCTTGTCTTAAAGTCTTGTTTAAAAAACATAAATGTTTGGTCAGTTAGATGTTCTAGATGTTTGGTAAAGTGTTGCTAGTTGGTTGCTAGGCTCTTGCTCTGCAGTTGCTGGGATGTTGCTAGAGTATATGGTTGATATAGTTTGTTCTGGGTGATTACAGACATTCCCACCTCTGTTAATAACAGAAAATCAAACATTGTTTTCAAAACTGATCCAGTTTCAGTACTGTGATATTATTGCATTTATTTCTAATGTTAGGAAATTCAAAAGTTTTTGTTGCTCTTAAACTTGCACTAAACATGATTATACCATCTGATCTAAGTAGCCTATGTAATTTTAATAGAACCGCATGTCTTCTTTAGTCATACAAGCTCAGAAACATTTATAACCTGTTTAAGTTTTTTATATTGTGTATCATCTTGGTGCCATGATGGACATTGAAATGTTGTTATTTATTTTTCACTTTAAACAGTATAGATGATTACTTAATAGTAATACAATATTTGTGAACACAACTGTGTATGTCAGACCATAAATCCCCAAAAACTATGCATGGGGGCTTGCTTTGGTGTTGCCACCCCTCATGGACCCGCCCCTGCAGTTATATATGATATGAGAACAGCAGGGCCTGAATATAGGGAGTACGTGTTATTTAATAAAAATATAATTATATTTTCAAAATGACAATTTTTTTATCAAACAGTCTGTGGGGCTAACATTTTTTTTTATATTTATAGATTATAATTTTGTAATTCATAACTATTGATTATATTCTTTTTTAATTTTAAGCTAAAACTGCCTGTACTCTGATTTTGCTGTAAAAGTTTAAAGCAAATTGCTGTGTTTGACTGTGGGGCATTTTATCCCTATATATATATATATATATAAACAAATTACATATATATATATACTGTATATACACTGAACAAAATTATAAACGCAACACTTGTTTTTTCCCCAATTTTTCATGAGCTGAACTCAAAAGATCTAAGACTTTTTCTATGTACACAAAAGGCCTATTTCTCTCAAATATTGTTCACAAATCTGTCTAAATCTGTGTTAGTGAGCACTTCTCCTTTGCCGAGATAATCCATCCACCTCACAGGTGTGGCATATCAAGATGCTGATTAGACAGCATGATTACTGCACAGGTGTGCCTTAGGCTGGCCACAATAAAAGGCCACTCTAAAATGTGCAGTTTTATCACACAGCACAATGCCACAGATGTCGCAAGTTTTGAGGGAGCGTGCAATTGGCATGCTGAATGCAGGAATGTCCACCAG